TGATACTATTACCTATGAAAAATTTGAAATCACTATAATTTTAGCTTGTTAATAGTAATAGGAATCTATAATAACAAATTCAACATGCCAGCATTGTTTAAGTATATCTATAGCCTATACATTCTTAAGTGGAATAGTACTATCATTAGTCCGAATCCGAAAGTTAGTATCGCTTTTGCGAGTGTTTTTTAATATCCGAATAATATATGAGAAATGCTGAGCATAATTAAAAAGAATTAAGTGAAACAGCATCATAATTGATCAGACGATTGCTTTAAATCATCTTATATCACGTACTACGATTTCATATATGCAGAATTGCTTTGCGAATGTTTTTTAATATCCGAATAATAGATAACCGCGCATACTTAAACGGAGATTCGCAATTGTGACGAGTGATAAAATCGAAGCCAGAAGCGTCAGTTGTCAGTTTATCGCAGTCTGTTCTCTTCCTGAGTTTTATCATAGTCACCGGTTTATCATTCACTTTTATTATGACGAAGCGGATCTTCGTGAATATAAAATGACGTCAATCCGCGCTTATACTATGTACTGATAAAATCCAATCTGTTTTTTATATCTTCCATTATATTTTTATTCATTCCGACCCCTTGGCACTTGTGAACGCGCTAAAAATTCATGATACAAGTTTCTGTTACGAAACTTTTCCTCCAGTCTGTATTTAATCTCAATCGAACATCATATCTAACGAAATCTATAACTGTATACATTTTCTAATTAATCAATTATTTCGACGTTCTATGAGACAGTGTTCTAATTTCATATGTACACCATTTCTCAAGTTTTAAATCAAATTAAATATCAAATTGATTGATCATTTAAAATTATTCATTAGTCTTTGACTTCATAATTAATTTTGATACAAATACATTTTGATTTGTTAAAACACAGAAATTAATTTAATTAACGATCTCCGTCACATAATGTTCTGACAAAATAATTAACCAAGTTATTGAACGTGATACTTCGTTCATTTATTCTGTATTTTCACATATGTATATGTATGTCAAGGAACCGATTAATCGAGGGAATAATTGGAATATCGGTACTCTAGAGATATATTTTTCAGTCAACAATAATCTCGTTCGCTACGTTTTAATTGCGGTCTGATTTTGTTCAGTTTTATCTTTCTCTCGTGACTCGGATTCGCCCATAATTTTCCGGTCCTTCGGGAACGGGAAACGAGTCGGCGGACATTTGCGGAAAAGCGGACAGGAAGCACGCCTCTTGCGCTGGTAACGTCGAAAAGCCGTCCCATTTCTGACATAAATACGAGCTTTTTCCGGCAGCCTGCACAATTTCCCGCGTCCTCTTCCTTCGATTTTCTGCCACTCCTTTGCTTATTTTCCTTTTACCTCCATCCCACCCTCTGTTCTTTATCGAAAAAACAATAGCCTGCACTCGATACTTGAGTTGTTCAAATTTTTCATTTCAGTATCATTACGTGAAATAAAATATTTTGTGAAATGTAAAATGTGATTACGAGTGAAATGATTATTTGTATTATAACGGGTGATCATAGCATATGAAACAATTGTGTACATTATGAAATCTGATGGCGAATGAAACGATTATACACAATAAATATGATGTTAATTAATTGAATTATGAAATTGCGAAAGTACTGATTCAATCATGACAGTTAAACATAACTGTAAAATGTATGTAATGTCATGGGTCTGATCGATATTTTCAATGGAAAAGCATTTAATGCGAGTACCTGCATAGCAGATTCTCGTGGGAAATATCGTTATTATTTGTACACGCGCGAGACGCAACAAGTTAATCATCGCATCGGCAGAAAGGATGAAACCTGGACAGAACTCCTGGTGCAATTTCGGTTTTCATCAATATTAATTTTATGATTAATGTTTGGAAACGTATAAAAACGTACACGTGTATTCAAATATGTTTCATTGCTAATATAGGACACTTGATGCAAGCTAAATCGTTTATAGATAATATCAAGGCTTTCTCACTTCGATAGAGACTAATTGAAATTGATTAAGGTTAATTGAATTTCGATGCTGTTGCAATTTCAGAACACTCTCACTTAAGGTTACTGTAATTAACGAGGAACGCGTAATTATCGTTCGCACGATTACTCGTTGAGCCCGCAGAACCAAAAGATTCTACTTAAACAGATTAAAGAGTCTTATTCTCCCATCCCGTTATCGTCTCGCGTAATTTTCTCGCTCCACGGCGACGACGTGCGACGCTACGTTTCTCGCGCTCCTTGACTCCCGAAACGGATTATCCTGGTCGCATCGCATCGCGATGAAACCAGATGTAATCTCGACGAGTGCTCTCCGAGGGAAAAAAGTCGCGGGACGTGGTCAACGACCGATCGTAATTTCATACACTCACGCGTTTATGCGAAATTTAAATGCGCGCAGTAAGACGTTCAATGTGCAGACGTATGCACTATGAAATATTTTTTAATTAATTACGTACATACGTAAATGTATCGATCGTTGATAGTGAATCATTTATTACTTTCATTATAAAATTTGAATAATTATATTACAATATTTTATTTATCGAAGAATAGAAATTTTTTAATTTACTGAAGAAATCTTATCATAGTAATCAGTTTTTCATTGCAAATAATTAAAGTAGTTTTTGTATTATTAAATTCCGGTATAGGAATATTAATAATTGATTAGATTTTTGTAGTGATTGTCGTTTTGTTCTTACCTGAGCAACCTGATCTCTCTAGTGCTGCTGCAGCTGGTGCCCGAGGAGGTGACGCTGTTTATGCTCTTGCTGCGTCGGCTTTTCAATAAATCGCCGAGGTTGGAGACCCCGTTCGCGGTGATGGAGAACGACCTCAGCCTGTAATATTCCACGCCATCCTCGATCTCACCCTCGTCACCGCCGCCGGCGCCACCCCGTTTAGTTTCAGCCAGCATCGGCTGCAACATTTAATTCGTATTTTTTTTCTTTTTATACACCCACACAATGTGCGTACAGACTGTAAAGTAATCGATGAAAATAAAACTCAACTAAGGCTCGATCTGCACGCTTAATAAGAGAATCAGAATGAGATTGTCACAAACGCGGTTTCGATTTGCCACGAATTCACTTCGCTTGCTTACGGAAGTTGCCACGTCTGGAAACAGACTTAACTCCATCCCAGGCTTGTTGTCGTTATCGCGATTAGCATGATTGTGTTCGATCGGGACTCTCGACGAACCAAATTAACCATGAACTACTCTTTCGTCGAGGAACTCGCAGCGGAATTGATTCGACGAAATGAAAAGGGACGATGCTTTTCATCTGAATGGCGAGGAGATTCCAGACGTCTTCCGTGATAAAGAAAATGTAGTTTTTGCTAAGGAGGTTTTTTCACGATAGAAGTCAGTGCTCTGTTCATTTGCTTGGGATTGCGTTTTTAAAAAATCGTTCTCTCATCGTGAATTCGGATAGAAATACATATGCAGATCCATACATGCATATTAATATGGATTATAATATGAAAAGTTCAGAACTTCAACAGAAATCCTTTTGTGTCACATATTTTTGAAGTTAATAATTTAGAATGAAATACATAATCGATAATATCGAGCGTAGGCGTTCACTTTTTACATGGGCGTCAGGATGATTTTTCATAAATATTTATTTACGCAAACGTCGAAAATTTTTAATCGTTTGATCGCACAAAGGTTTTGCAAAAGCGTGGGTATTTGATTGAACGTTCTCTGGTTTTAATCTGCCTGATATTTCCACTTTTGGAGAATATTACGATAGTATATGTTGTTGTTTAGAAGTTCGAGAATAACCCTTATCTTTTTTATCAAAATCCATTTTTGAAATAGCTTTTGAGAGTGTTTAGAATGTAAAATCAGTAATGTATTGTAAAAATGGCTAAGTTCTGAGTAATAAATGAATGCAAATAAATCTTAGTATTTTTATTTCACGATCCTTGTCCAAGTTACTAATCCTCGAAACTTAAAATAGTAAGGACAATTAATAATTTAAAGCGCAGGTGTTTATTTTTGACATGAATCGAGTCAGCGCTTTAAGCAGCGTGGGACTCGATAAGGAGCGAGCAATTCGTGAGCGTCAGACTTCCAGAACAACCAAAGAGGGATTAGGGTCAAAGTGAATCCTCTTGTGCATCAGCGTGCCCATTACGAGAATTAACCGGACATTATTGTACACTGTACACTGACGTCTCGCGTTTTAGCCTAATTTCTTGTAACGCGTATGAACTTTAACCTCCGACGTGAACTTTACCTTGCGTTCCTTACATTTCGATTCATGGATCAATGAAATAAATTTATCGATGAATTTCGAAACGATGGAATGAAATATCTGATGCACGAAATTAAGAAACATAAAATTCGACGAATGTTAATATTACTTAATTTTGACAACACATTTAGATACATATTTTAAGTTATTTTTGAATGAAACGATATGTTTTGTATGGAAATGGATGACATAGATATAAAAAAATAACAATGTGTTTAATGGATTACCTTGAAAAAAGGGAAGGAATCATTTTTACAATTAATTGAAAACTTCAATAATCTGTCATACGATTGAATTTCCTTTGTTAATTTCGTCTGCATCGAGATACCGTTTCGATGTTAACACGTTTAATGCCGTTCGTCAAATTGGAAATGAGAAATCTGATATCCATCCATCGGCGAATGGTTGGAATTACCATTTTGAGATTTCAAAAACGTGTCATGTTCAAATGCAATGCAATATGCATGTAACGTACGTTCAATAAAATAAATATTGCCTGATTACAACGTTTTTCTTGTTTCTCATTGATTATATTGAGAATATCTATTTTCATTTATTCAGATCAGATGCGACGTGTTTATTCACTCAAATAAAAGTGTCAAAAGTTTCATCGTCTTCAGTATTTTTACAATCCATCTAATAGAAATTTATCAGGGGAGATTTTCCGTTTCCCGCTTCCATTGAGTTTCCGTCCTATCATATCAATCCTGTTAAGTTTATCTCTCTCTCTCTCTCTCTCTCTCCCACTATCTAAGTTTTCCAGAGGGAAACGCACGTCGAACGAGTCCTCGAAGAGGCCTCGAACGTCGAGACAATATCAACTGACGATCTCGGGGTCTGGTTTCAACAACACTCTACCGTGTAACATCCAAGTACCCGTCTCTCCGCTAGCTCTCGCCGGAAGTTTCACGCGATTCGAGTAGCCACGTTCCATGCACACTGAAACGAAAAATCCGTTCGACGTTCGAGGAGCTGTTAGATTTCGATACGATCCACGAGTGAAATCCTCCCGTTTCGACATTTCGAAAAATCGCACGCGACGGATTTTCCTCCTTCCATCCCAGCCAATTTTCCATTTTCCACCAGAGACCCTATTCTCCTTCCAATTTGAGACAACTTGAGCTCCAAGCCCCTTATTCCCAGCTGTGAATTTCTAAAGTGCCTTGCCTTGCCGTGTTTTAATGTCAATGAAAAATTACATATTCCATCAATTTTGATTAAGTGCATATTTGTCAGAATCGTGCAGCAAATTACGACTGTTATATATATG